AAGGGGTCGAATCCGAACCACCAAATATTTTTTAGATGGCGGAAACGGATTTTTGGCATGGAATGAAGCAAACTCGGTCCAACGGAATCAACAACCGTTCTAGGGGAGGCAAACCAAATAGTGACTCAGTCACAAACTCATCTATGCCGCCAAGTTGATGGATCTTAGAAGGAGACATATGCAACTTCATGGTTAGGAGGGATAAGCCTTCAAGGAGAACATCCCGTGCTTTTAGGGGCTCAAGGGCTCAGACGCCGGATGCCTCCGCTGCACTTGGAGATGTTAATTTTACTTGGGGCAATGTCATGTATGATAGAGAAAGGTCTGCTTTTTCCAAGTTCATGGAATTGCACGATCGCTTCCCTCGTTTCTCCTCTTTTAATACGAAGACGAACAGTTTGGCGCGTTCCGCACGTACTATTTTTTTAAAGCAATTATCCGCCTACTTAGATAACCAATCACGGTGGTATCTTTTAATTAATAGTTTGGTTAACAAAGAAAAAAAAACTAAACCCAAAAACTCTAAAGAGAACTCTAAAACTTAAAACTAACTAAATCCTAAATTTAAAATAGTTAAACCAAATCCAAAAACTTTTATACTACAAACCATTGAAAATAGTGTTTTTAGTATTTCTGGAAAATATAAACTAGTAGTTTTGGAAAACAAAATTTATGATTATGTTTAGAACAAAAACTTAATTAGTGGTAATTTAAGGAATCCTCATTCTAATATGATCCAGCTCTGTCAAAATCCCTAATCCATTAGTCTTCTTTGACGGCAATCATTTCCATTGAGACAAAGTTTTCTTTTCCAGAGCCAGTATAGCAGTTTACAGGTAAGAGAAAGAAAGGTTGAGCTCAGAAAGTGCTCGGGCGAGAGTTTACATCTAGCTGGCTTTGAATTGAGCTCAACATGTAGCAAGTTCTGGACATATAGCAAGTTCTGAACATATAACAAGTTCTCAGATTACAAAGTGAAACAGTCAAGATCTATTACAAAGGGAGTGCATAATCTGTGCTGAGAATTTACATGTCACTGTGTGAGCAGCTTAGAGTCACATGCCACTATCTTCACCCGGCTCACATTCTCCTGACGATCGTCATTCTTGAACATTGCATCCTGTAATATGAAGGTCCAGACGTTGTCACAGAATCTGTAAGTGTGCAGGTGCCCCTGTACGAGTAAACAAAAACAATGAAGAAACAAGGTTTAAGTATGTGATTGATTTATCTGCCATAATTTTCTCTTATCTAAGTGTCTTCTGAGCAAGAAAAAAATCAATATATGGTTTTACACAACAGGTGCTGAAAACAGGGCTAATGTTTGGCTATGAATTCAATAGCAGTGGTGTTAGTATGGTGGTAGATATGTCAATCATCAGAAACACTAGCAAAGATGTAGATAAGGCTATTCAGATTAGTGAAGAGGACCACAAACTGGATATGTACAAGTAAGTGAGTGAACAGATAGATATATGGCAGTGAGAAACAGAAACTGGACATGTCCTTCTAGGCAATTCCGTTGACTAAGAAAATTAAGCAATTAAAAGTCCTGAAGATCACCTTGATAGACACCTTGGTCTTCACTTGGCTCTCCAGAGCTTCAGTCATGGACTAAAAAAGAAAGAAGAAGATTGATATCAAGCAGAGAAAACAAACATGAAAGAAGACGAGTCAGAGAAAAGTGAAACCTTACCTTGTCGAATTGGACAAGGACTTGGATGGCTAGCTCGGGGCTAAGCGTGCCACTCTGAACCATCTCGTCAAGAGTCTCTGTCAGACACATTCCGATCGTCGATCTCCGGTACAGCTCAAACGTCGCCATCCCAACAATCTGCCAATATGCAACAAATCGTCTAATCGAATTCGCAACGACTAACACCAACCAATCGGAGAACAAACAAAGAATCGATTTAGATTTACCGATCGTCGGAACGAAATGGAAGGAATCTGCAGGAGGAAGAGATTCCGTTGTTGGATTGCGAAGGATCTGTCTCTTGGGCGGAGAAATTTTTTGGGGCTTTTATACCCTAGATTTTGCAGGCTAGGGTATATATAGACACCGATACATGTTTGGAGATTCATAATTACGGTTTTATCCTTGGGCTTCTCTCCTAAAGTCAAATCTCAGAGTTAGTACAAGGCCCAACTACAGAAAAAGACCCAATTTCCTTTGTTTTACTAGTTGGTTGATCCGCATAAATGCGGGGACATGAATACTTTATTACAAAAATTGTC